CATCCTCCCTACCTCCCCCTGCCCTCCCTCTCTCCCTCACCACGGCTCCACCCCGTTCCGCGCCCGCCCCGCCACGCCTCCGCCACGCCACGCCCCCACACCGTCCCGCGCAGCACGGCGCCGCTCCCGCGCTGCCCCGTCCCTGCCTCGCCATTGCCCGTCGCCGAATTTACACAATTCAATTTCTTTTTTTATTTCGGCATTAATTTTTCTTCGTCAACAAATATTTTCATTTCTTTTGTAAATAATAAATACTTGTCAAGTTTCTGGAGTGTTTATAAGTTTCTGAAATGCAAATTTTGCATAGAAAGTATTTTTTCAAGTTGAGTTCTTATTGTAGCTTAGCCATTAGAAATATCGTTGGAGTTTATTACACGAAATATGCTTATTACCGTCTAAAGAGCTTAATTTCGAAGTTTCGTTGCCCCCGCCCCCTCCAACACCAACCGGACACCAAGGGAAATAGGCGGCAGGCTTGATAAACTCCGTTAAAAAATGTATCTGCATTATTCCCAAGGATGCTCCGCGTCCATAATTAAAGGTAGGCAGCCCTTACGACACCCAAGTACTAAGGGTTGCATTCGTCAAGCTATGGCCCTTCGACAAAAGCTAGGACGTTTAAGTGTCCTTTATTCGTTGAAACCACAAACGTGACCTACGCGCCTCGGACTATCAACTTAATAAATTAATCAATAATTAAATAAATAAGTAAATAAATAGATAAATATGCTTTATTGTTTGGCTCTTCCGTCTGACCGCTACCAAAGGTTTAATGCAATAGTACATAATAAATAGGAGAACGTTCAAGGAAATACGTTCTACGCAATTAGGAGAAAGGGTTTTTCACGAGACTGACAGGAGTGAAAACAAGGTAGGAGGGAGATGATGTCGTAGGCTTTCGAGGCCAGAGTCATGTGAATAATCTTGGCTGTCCAGGTGACGCCGCGTCGAAGGCTTGTGTTGCCGACGTTTTGTCCATCTTATCGTGGACTTCCTCAAAGAGGCCCCGAGGAAGACCACGATCAGATATTCGAAACGTCGGCAACACAGCCAAAGACGCGGCGTCACCTGGACAGCCAAGATCATTCACAAAGGAGGAGGGAAACGTTCGAGAAGAAGCCCCTCTCACCGCATTTGTGTGAGAACATGTACAGACGTCAAGGTTGGAATATCGGCCTTAAGCAATCATTCCGATCCAGGGGGTTACTCAACCGCTAAAGGTGTATGCTGGGATGGTCGCTTACTTGCAGCCCCAGGAGTAATTATGGAATAGATCGTTGGCTTGTTGGTGAGGCACGTTAGGTCAAGTTTCTTTTCGGGGTTATATTGAATTGTAAAACTTTAATGTGTAAAAACTTTAAACTGTAAATGAACATGTCTAATACTTTCAATTGTTTTCATTTCATTTAAAAAACAAATATATCAATATTATTATTTTTATGAATTATAAAATATTTTTCAATTATAGAAGTGAATTTAAATCTAGTTAGAAATATGTCTAGTTAGAAATATGTAATTACATTGGAACACTCCACGAGATTTTACCCAAATATAGTGAAATTCCCTTTGCGTAACTCAGCAAGTGAGGAGCGAGGTAGTTTTGCAAATAAAATGTTTAATTCGGCGGGACTAAATACTACTGAAAGTAGGAGGGGTTTTGAAAAAGCAAAAATAACGCAATTTTTTTTTCAATGACCCCTAACAAAAACTAGAAAAAAATGGCATTTTGTAAGGGAATTTCACTACTCCATCACTACTACATCATGTCAAGAATTCAGGCTTTGAGAGAAATGATTACATACAAAAATTATTGTAAATGAGTTTATGTGTAAAGAAATAGTAAAAATAATAATATTAATATATTTGTTTTTAAATGAAATAAAAACAATTGAAAGTATTAGACATGTTCATTTACATTCAGAAAGTTTTAGAATTTAATATTACCTCAAAACGAAACTTGACCTAACGTGCCTCACCAGCAAACCAACGATTTATTCCATAATTACTCCTGAGACTGCAAGAAAGCGACCTTCCCAGCATACACCTTTAGCGATTGAGTAAACCCCTGGATCAGGACAATTTCCCAATGCCGGGATTCAATGTACTGCCAAAACCATAGGGGAAAATAATCCATTGCAGTGTGCACACGACATACAAAGGAAAAATGGACACCTTTCCAGGTCAATATTCTGTCTTGTATAAGTCGAAGGTTTTAAGAGTGAAGAACTGAAACACAAATGATGCGGATTAGTGAAATTCATCAAGAAAAAATTAGAAAACATGGTCAACTGAAAGAGAGAGGTAGTCATTTATTAACAGGTAACTCTGCACTACAAATATAAAGCAGTGTTACATTTACAACTTTTTTTATTTCTTTTCTCAGATAGAATAAAAAACACTTAAAAATGACGTAGTTCTCATTTTCGTAGAAAACTCTCAATTTTCTAAACTTGCAAACGTTAGAAATAATGCGTAATATTATGTGAAATTAAGACAATTTTAAAATTAAGATTTTCTAAAAAATGCTCCAAATATTTTCTTTAATTTTTTTTCGAACACATCAAAGTGCTCTAATGAAAATAGAGCAGGATCCATTTTCGGTGAACTCTGTATTTTTGTAAACTGCAAAAAATTAATCTTACTACTAGTTAGATATTTTTCTGAATGACATTTGATCTAAAAAATAGATTATTATAAAAGGTCGTGTACATTTTGTGAAAATACGAAAATTCGCGTATTTTTTTATTTTATATTTCTTGATGTCACAACAGTTTTTCCCTTTTTCAATTTTTGTTTTCTTTCTCGAATAGAGCAAAGTACACTCATAGAAACGACGCAGGTCGACCATTCCAAATTTTCGAAAGTAAAAAAAAATACAAATGATGTAAAAAATCATGTAGTGTTGTTACACCACTCGTTTTAAACTTAATACATTAAGACTGTTTCAGGAATCAAATATTTTCAGTATAATCTTTCGATTATGTTGAAGTTGAATATGACAATATTCAATGCTCTTGATCATATTCTTTGCTCAATATTAATGCGCTACATTAAGTCGCATGGCACCTAATAAACTACTACAAACAGGTATCAACGAAAACGCGATTCTATTTTGACAATTCCCGATATTAATTTCTGTCCGACTCGGGATACTTATTTTCCCTTATTACGCGTATTTCTATCATCGCCATATTTTGACATCCTGGCCTGTAGAACCACCTCTTCCCTCGTTTAATCTTACCGTTGTTGCTTGCTATAGACCCCTAGAACCGAAGCACCACTTACTCAAAGAAGAAAAGTGAACGACTACTATAAAATATTTGCCCCTCCATTTTTGCTCGGCAATATTGTCACTAAACTGCTCGTTTTAAGTTCCAGTTAAAAGCTTGGCTTAAAAGCTAAGGTAAAGCTTAGCTTTAAAGGTAAAATAATTTAGTATGATTTTAAAGTTAAAAGTGGTAGTTACAAACACTTGATTTTCTATTATGTCGTAAATTGAATCGATAATCTAATTACTAGCGGATAATTTAATTTATTGATTTACAGGAGAAGGAGGTTATTTACCGCAGTTTGTTTTTATCTTGCCTCACCTCGGACACATTTATCAGCACACTCAAATTCCACGTATCTCAACATTACATCGGATGACAGGTGAGGTCAACAGAAGAAAAAATTCCATGAATCCGTGCCGTGACCCAAATATAAATTAATATGCAGCAAACATGTACACTTATAATACGTGATACGTCCATAAAAATACATATGCAACAAATACAATTTGGGTACAAATGAACAAATTTTACATTAACGTATGCTCATTATCCACATTTTGTACTCTTCACGATTTGAATTTTTCCCAGACAGCGACTGATTTCGACCTAGCATTTTAGCTAGTGTCCAAAATCCGCTGCAATGAAGACTCAAACTCTAGAACCTCCCGGTCAGAGACACTGCAGTGACAACAGTTGTTGCTCTGAGCTATCTCAGTCAGTAATTTGAATTTAAACGTTTGAATATGCAAATAATTGGATGTACGTATATTTCTCCAAACCTCTCTCGCTTCATTTGATTAGGAGTTTTCAAGCGATGGCAAAAGGGTCAGTCGGACCAGAAGTTGCAATATTAAAATATTGCGAAACTGTTATCAGTAACACGAAAAACAATGTGTAGCAACATCACTACCTTTCTTCTTCACGAATTATTGGGAAACTATTGTAAAAATGTAAAAAAATAGATGTCCAGATGTGGATGGAAGACATGTTTTGGAGGTCTCTGATACCGAAATAGTTATTTTTATATTAAGTGCGGGAAGTAATAATTTTTCCCTCGATCGAAATTGAGGGTCCTTTGGCGAGATCAATAGGTCGAGTAAAAAAACAACAAAAACACCACAACATACTCAGCACAGTACAATGAAATCAAGTTCAGTGCAATCCAGTACAATGCTCAATACAGTACAGTACAACATAATCAAGCAAAAAACAATTATTAATAAACTATTTTTCTACAACCGTATACAAATGCTTCTATTACAAATTATGATTTGTTTTACCTCTTCCCTTCGTCGTTAGAGCGTGTGTTGGACGGAGTCCGATGAGCGAAGGGTTGCATTACGGATTCTCACGCGAGTAATAAATAGAAAAGAGTCTGTCATATTTATAACGAATGTATCATAATAGTAATAATAATAATAATAATAATAATAATAATAATAATAATAATAATAATAATGTCATTATTAGTGACGACACTCAGGTTACAGGACGTTCTATTTCGCCCAACCACGATTGTATATGGAAGGTCTTGGCATTTTAAGAGGTTGTGGTTTACTATGCTAGCGAGTGGCTGTTGTCACGTTACTAATTTCAAAATGAATTCGAGAGATAACTCCACAAGAGTTGATTGAATCTACGAACGTCGCAGTAGGTAACTTGTTACCAAAAAATTGAAAGATATTTATCCAAAACACTTGAAAAACTAGTACTTGTGCTTTGAGTAAAAGTAGCAAATGTACTTCTAAGTTGTGAAGGGGATCGAAAATATATTATTAGCATATTTCAATAAGTTCATATTAATTAGTTTCTTAATTAGCTAGTATTTAATTAGTAATTGGTAATTAAAATTAATAGTATGTAATTAATTTGTACAGTAATTAATTGTTAATTAGTTAGCAATTAGATAGTAATCGATTCGTAATTTTTTCTTTGGTCCTATTCTGCCATAGACGGAAGTTAGGTGACCCTTGATGGGTTTTGTTGGGAGGATATACTGGGAATAATTTCAAGTTCCTTTCCCAGAGTTTTTCGATCCAGGCTACTTTAGAAGCCTACCTCGGACACTGCCCGAGCCGGGACAAGCTATTAGCTCCTGACAGGTCTCCCGGCATGTATGGTAGTGCAGTGCATGTTAGTGTGTGTATAAATAAAGGGTTAGGTGAGGACAAGGAAGAGGAAGGAAAGATCGCGCGTGGTCCGTGGCAAGTTTATAAGGGTACTGCTCCGGCATTTGCCGGGCGATGGTCGGAGAAACCTCGGTAAACTACCGAACAGAGCAAGCAGCCGCTGGAATTCTCCTCCAGACAGCGGCAGAATTCGACCTAGCTATGTAGGTAGCGTATGGCAAATCCCGCCACCGTTGGGACTCGAATCCTATGACCTCCCGGTCAGAGGGACTGCAGTGACATCACTCGAGGCCCATTTGCTTCCTAAAGTCGGTCACCAGACACGAAAATTGATTCTGCAAAAGGAATAGAAAGAAAAAAAAAACTGGAATCCTCGGCGACGTGGCGACCAAGCGCTCTTCGCACCCTGATATTAGCACGTCTCATTGGAAAATTCCCCGCGCGCCTGGTGGTGGCTTCGTGGGGAGAGGGGGAGGGGGGGGGGGCATTCTTGGACGGCGGGCGCTTTATTACGCGTGCCTCCTCGGCGCCGATCGAATGCCCTCGCCAGCCAGCACGGCCGTTCCCGGGCTCCCTCGCTCACACGCGGCACTCAAGTAGCTAAGAACTATCTTTTGAAGTTTTCTCTGGCTGGAAATTAATTCAGGTTATTTTATGTAGGGTAAACCCGCGATATAAAAATATTAGAAAAATATTTTTTTTTGTACTTTCTTTCCTTCCTTCGTTCTCTCATTATTTTTTGTTTCTTTCCTTTTTCTTTCTTTCATTTCTCTTTTTCTTCTTTCCATATTTCTTTCTTCCTTTTGGAGGGCGTCTAAATGGGAACTTCACTTCCTATTAGACACAAAAATTAGGAGCCTTCTTGAAAAGAAACAAAAAAAATAGTGGTCCTACAACAAAACACACTTTCTTGCTTTATTTCTAACTTAGCAGGTTTCTAAAATTCCAAATTCAACAAAAATTAGATCTGCACCATTCTTGAAAGCGTCTTTGGGGAAAAGATGTGAGAAAAATTGAAGAGGATTTTTTGTTAATTTGCGTTAACTTCAAGTACGAGTTAAGAGGAAACTACTAGATTTTTCAAAAAATTCGACGTGACCTTTTTTAAAGAGCTTATCATTAACATTTAATACGTTGTGAATCCTTTGCAATTTTCAAAAATACCGAGTTCGACTACAAAAATTGGACCTGTTCTTTTGAAAAAAGGTTAACTGCCTAAATTTCATGCAATATTATGCGAAAACTACTCATATTTTCGAAAAATTGTACATGACCTTATTTCAAGATGTCTTTAAAGTTCAGGTTCATTACGAAAAAAGTCTTCAATATTATAGTTGTAGGAAGACGCCAAAAAATTGCTTGTCTGACGTAAAAATACTCATATTTTCGAAAATTGAGCATGACCTTATTTAAAGTCCTGTTTTTGATTTTCACATTTCATTCAAAATATTATCTTCATAATTGCTTTTGTAGGAAGACACCAAACAAATTTTGAATTTTTCAACATTCGAAAAACCAGACATTTCAGCAAAAACAGACCTGCACCATTCCTACAAGCGCTAATATACGCTGTTCCAGATCAAAATTTAATCAATATATTTGGTGCCAATTTTTTGAAAATGTCCCAAGGGCTTCATGTAAAGTACCCCCAAAATTAAAATATGTTTCAAATTCAAGGGGGTGCAACACCTGCCAGTTCAATTGGGGAATATCAATTTTGGAAAAAGTCGGCTGAACAGTTTATATACATATAGCAAGTTTCTCTTTCAAAAATTTGCAGTTTTCCCGCACGTTACAGTACTTTCTTTACTGCACAAGCTGTAGAGAAAAAGGAAATAGGAAGATCATCAAGTAATACAGTGCCTGATGCAGTCAAAAGTTTATTGTATAAACCAAAAATTTTTTAAAATGATAAAAATAAATGTCACCTCTGCATATCACAAATAATTTTCATTGTTCAATATGCGATGTTCCAAACAATTTAAATTGTATCAGAAGAGTTCATGAAAATAATTTAATCAATCATATATATCATCATATATTTAATCAATCATATATATTTTAAATGCTTTATATTTTTGTCATATATGAATTATATTCCTTTCAAAATAATATCCAATAAACTAAGATAGAACGACAATGAGTCTTAATTTTCTATTGAGTTTAAATTAAAAAGAAAAGTATTAATAACCCTTAATTCTTCTGAGTCTACATTCAAAAAAAAATATTGAACTGAAGTTGAAATACCATTCACATTAAAATTTATTAATACAAAAAATAAATAAGGGGAATTTTCCAATTTAGTCCGAAGAATGTGCCGATTTAGCACAACTGGTTTACAGCTGTCGCCATCTCTCACTGACTAATCCCATTTCTTTTAATCTTTCCAATATCCATCCTCTGGCCATCATTACTCCATCTTCCTTCTAGGTCTTACTCTATACCTGTGTATTTTAAGTCCTTTCAGCATCTTCTCCAATATTCGATTTTAGTAGCTTGAATTCTTGTTTTGTTCCTTGCATTCATAGTCCATAATTCAGCTCCAAAAGGAGACATTTAAGTAATAGACTTATTACTTAAAACTTTTTTTTTTTTTTTTTTTTTTTGGGGTAACTTTTCTTTCTTTTTTTGTCAAGAGTGCCATGGCAATGGATATAAAGTCCTTACAACATGCCTGCCTCTGTTTTGAATAGGATATTTATGCTGTCACGACCATAATTCATTCTAGTGAAACCCAGATAATTGAATTCTTTTACATATTTTATTCTATCTCTCTTCTTTCAGAAAGTTGATATAAAAAGTTTCAAAACTACAAATATCTAAACTGCAACTTTTTTAACACATTGCACAAACCTAAAATCATTTATGTGGCAATCGCAACACAAGTGTTATGTGCATCACTGACAGTACACAATAGGAATCTTTTCCCAGCTGGTGAATTATGACAATTCAAAATCAGAAAAAAAAATTTAATTTCTTCTCTTGTAAAATCTGAATTAGTTAGTTCAAGTATATGGCAGAATTTTCTTTCTCCTTTACAAATGTCATTTTCCATGAATAATTCAAAAACTCACTTGCAATTCGGTCTAAGTACTTGGAGAAATATTTTTCAAACTCGGTTTTTAAAAAACCACATCACTAGGTCATTATTGGTTTAAATGGTAATTAATAATATGGTTTATGGTAGTTTTTATCATATTAACAAATGTAAATTCTGAACTATTCCATCATATTTCTTGAATATACTCAGACCATCTTCACTAGAAAAGGAAAATTAAGTAATATAATCCCCACATCTAAAATGAAAGAACAATTCCACAACAATAGAAGACAAGAGCAATTTATTCAATGATTATATCGCACAACTTTTATTGTTCCTAACGTGATCCTGGTATTTATTAGTCTTATTATCATTTAAATAACAAAGCAAATTTTATTTTACACATCAAATATGATACATTCCTGTCCACAACTGATTCCATGGCCCTACCAGGAAGCCTTTGAGTGGTCCAATTTTCTACAAACCTTCCTCCACCACATCATACACACTAAAAGAATTCTTTGGCATGTTTATTATAGGTTGATTTCAAATATTCAGACTGAAAGGCATTAACTGAAGTTCATTAAATACATATTTATCATTCAGCTTTAAAAAATCCAAATATTTTTCTTGGAAGCTGCCTAAAATGAGCAGCAAGGAGTGTACATTTTTTAAAAATGCTTTGCATAAACTACTAACATTTTTCAATCCTACTCCACATAAACAGTTCACTCTATAATTGATGATCATCACACCCAAAGAAATGTAAATACTAATTACAAATAATACGGATTTCCCATAAATTACTACATAATTGCATAAAGAACTTTTTTAATTATCAAGAAGCAAATATTAATATTCACAATCAGAACAATATAAGATTTCTATTACTAAAATGCAAAAGTCAAGATAAAATAAAATAACACGCAAGAAACCATGGAACATTTTATGTCATTTCAAAATGTTCTGTACTGACTAGTACAAATACGCTTATTTTCTTTTCTATTTTTACAAAATTGGCAGTGATATAACTGGTCTAGAAATGCAATGGAATGATATCTGATTTTCATACGTATAATCACTCAGTTCTTAATCATACTTCAGTATGCAAGTAAAAAATTACTTTCTGAGCCTGTGATAGTTCTCACACAATCACGCTATGTACATAATGGGAAAACTACAATGCAGCATTCTTTAACACAAACCAATTAGAACTCCCATTCCATTTCTGTTACTCTGACACAACAGAATAAGATCATGAGAACTCAAAATGAACATGAGTGAATTTTGTTTTCTGGTAACCTCTGAATCAGCAAAAAAACTGATACTTAATAAATCAGTCAGTACTTTTCAGAGGATATACCAAGCTCAATGTTTCAGTATACACATCAGTTTATAAATGCATTATTTCTAATGTTTCATGTTCCCAACAAAAGACTACCATTTTCATTAACATCCCTCTACAGAAAGAAAAAAAATACATACATAATACATTAAAGTAATTGACTGATAGAACTAAGAAAAAGCTCTTTATGAATGCTGTATATTATAACTGAACTATGAACACTATACACCATTATCAATGTGAATGTATCATTGCTATGTTTGTTAGACACTTGGTGAAATCACTTCCAATTAGAATCTGTGTACATACAAAAGCTCTTGTGAGCAATGAAAGCCTCACATTTCATAACAATGTTTCAAGTGTTATTTTTACACAAACAGTTTTAAGTTCCCACACATTCTGTGCATATGAAATGAACACATAAAACAGTACACTATACATATCCATTGTGTAGTGTAGACACTGCATTACGCAGAATGACAGGAACTAAGAATGGCTACATCTCACTTCTCCAGTCAAGAATATGAAATATTACTTGAACATCATTTTTTTAACCCCTTTTTCTTAATATTTTTTCACTTCTCCCCTATAGATCACGTATATCTTGGTTAGCATCACCTTGTTATACATCTACACATTCAATCATAGTCTAACAACAATGCATATGCATTAAAGGCAGCACCAATTTTACAAAGCACAGTTTATAAAACATTCATTACTCTTGTTAAAGGCTGTTGTCTCAGTATATGCTGCATGTAAACATCTGATAAAACAGTGAATGCACTGAAAAGTTCTACTTTCAATATGTAAACGGGCAAAGAATTTAGAAAAACATTCCGCATATAACATTGCACAGTCATTTTCGTTGATATATGCAAGCAAGCATTTAAAATAGCAATAAATTTAGACTTACTTTTAAGTTTCAATCAAAAAATGAAACTACAAACATTCTTGGGCAATATTCAATGAAAACATAATTGAAACAAGAGTGGTGGAAAATATAAGTAAAACACTGTCAGAAAGTGCAATGCTCATTAAATGAATATGTCAAGTTTAAAGTTATATGTTCAAAATAAATACTCATTTAATTTTCAAAAGAAAGATACATTTGTTAAAAATACTATTTTACAATTCAAGAATTTTCTCCCACTGTTTTTGGCTCTTTACATACCATTCGGTGAATCACATTAATTCAGCAATAAATAATGATGTGGAATGCAGCACATGAATCAACAGTCAATACACCCGACTTACAACCAATTAAAATCATTAAAATCTCCCACCTTTTTGCCTCCTTTAAAATTGTTTTCAGGTATAAAAAAGTACACCAATTTTGCATGCATTACATGAACAAATAACGTTAACATAATGTGAATTTTCACCAAGCTTAAAAAAACAAACACATGCCCTCTTTAGTCTTCACAATATATGTTGCACCATCTAACAGCACAGTCAACTATTCCACACACAACTATCACCAATATCCACTCTTGAATTAAGTTGAAAATTAAATTCTCTCATTCTTTAACCTACACATGAAACAAAGTTTATGCCAAAAATTTTTGAAAGAAATGTATTTACTGAAATGACACCACAATAATTACTTTTCAAGTATTTAAATATTCGCAAGTAAAATAAACATAAAATGTCACATAATACAAAAATATTTTTTCACACAAGTGCATAGGCATATTAATAATAAACAAGCCACAGATTGTTTGCAACCTTACCACTGTGGTACCTAAGTGAATTTCAATCTGGCTTAAAATTTATAATTTGCACAACAAAAATGATTGAAAGTAGAAAATTAATACATTTATTAACAAAGAAAATATATTTTATATCTACAACAAAATGAAATTCCAGTTTAATTAACATTTGTCACATCAATTCGCATCATGTGAATAAATTTAATGAAAAACATGAAATAAATAACTTGAAAATGTTCCCTGATTTTCAAATTATGAATGCCTGCATATAATGTGCTGGGCTACAATGTTCAATCAAGACATAGTAACCTGAACACAAACTACAAAAATTATTTGGTTTCTAGAATTCATGCAAAGTACTCGGAAACTATGAAATAAAACTGACATGAATTACACTACACACCATACAAATCTAAAAACGAATATTCAAGTATTGCTGAAATTCAGCAATAGAAATTTAAGCGCAGGTAATGCATATTCTAATTCCACTTGAGACTTCAAAAACATCAGCCAACTATGTACAAAAATTAAAATATAATTTTGGTGCTCTCACACCTTAAAATATTTGATTTAGCATTGGTTGCAAATTTTTTTCAGATTTTTTTTTCAAAAACAAAAGATTAAAAGAGTAATCAGCATTCCAATTATTTAAATTTCATTGAATACTTGGTTTGGTTTATATATCGAGAATAACATATGAGATACTATAAATTTACTGCATTTGACAATTTTTAAATAGATTTATACAAGCCTTATAATAATTATACACTATCTTCAATTTACACAAACAAGCAAACCAATACATTCACATAACAAAAACAAATCAATATATACACAAAGAATCATTCATTCATTTATGATAAACTACTTCTTTGATAATTATACTCCATAATGTACTTTCATGCTTGTCCTCTTCTACAATGCCCCCAAAACTGAACTGCAAAATAATTATGTACTCTACAATAAGATCTTAGGAATGGCAAATCTTATCGAAAATTAAGAATAGTTTCAAGAGAACTTAAAACAGAAGTCTATTTATCAGCTCTCTTTCCCACAATGTCATGAAGAACAGTTCCTCAACATTCACTTTACACATACATAACCAAAGTGACATAGGACTAGACAATGACACCATGTGCTCAAAATTAAGACAAGCATGTTAATGTTAACATTATCAAAAAATAGCAATAAGTTCAAATAAATAGAAATAAAAATGATGATAAAACAGTTTGAACTTGCTTCACTTTTAAAAAAATTACCAGTCATACAAAAACATAATTTTCAACAATACATATGAAACTAGTTTGATACAGTAAGGTTCACTAAGTACCTGAAAGCAAATGCATGAAAATTTCACACAAAAGCTTGCACACTTGATACAGCCTAATAACAAGTGTAGAAAAACAAATCGCACAAAAACGAAATGCATGGCACCATGATCTTATCTCTTCCTATGTATGTGTAGCAGGCAAAACACATTGTGTTTTTTCTACATTGAAAGGCAGTGATATCTCTCAATATTGGCAGTATAATTCTCTCTATATAATAAAACATCTCACAATAAGGACCAGGAATTTTAACATTGGCATGGTTGTATCATACAACTGAGCGCAAATAAGACTTAAAACAATATAACAAAACTGTTGAACAGTAGAGACAATACATTGTGAAGTACAGTACAAAAAAATTGCATCAAGAGTGTGGTGTGGTTTCACATCCGTACCATCCTCTAAATCTAATACTATTTGTTATTATTTCATTAAATACTACACAACAAAAAGATTATAAGGATATAACATTGGAAATTGAAATACTATACTTTTAAACAATTGGTTATAATGAAACAAAACATTTCCAACATTTTCCCCCACAGGAAATATGCAGAAGTGTAACCAGAAAACACTCATCTTACAATTACATTTCACATCTGTTTCTACCACGGATAGAAGACTGAAGTATAATAATTTTTCAAAATGATAAACAAAATTAACTTAATTCGATTAATGAAGTTAAACAGTATGTGACAGATAATCAAGAGCTTCAAACAACTACCACTAGAACACATAAGGAGCAACTGAATTACATACTATGTAGAAACAGCTCTGCATAATGGAGACAATATGCAATATGAGAAGGAATTCCCAGTCCTTTACGAAGATTTCAGTCAAGGGAACAAAATAAAAATTACATTCTGATCCACATACAGAATCTTACATATAACATACATATATTATACAGAAAAGTTGACCTTGTAATAAATAAGAGGAGGTTTTCCCTTGTTACCAGAAAGTAAGGAAGGAGACATCTCCAACCAAAGGTAACTATAAAACCAGAAGGATTGAAGATGAATAACAATGTACACAATTGAATTCATTAAGGGGAACTACTTTTATACAATTCTGCCACACAAGTAAAGATGCAAGAAATAACAAAACTAATTATGTACAAATAAAAAATTATGATATATAACACAGACAATACATTAAACCATTCACACATTACTGTAAACTTGTTAATTCAAATTCTTCTTTCATCAATTCAATGCATTTGTACATTGGTTCTAGACTGTAGTCAGTCACCGTTTATTGTTATGTTGAAGGCCCATCCCATTCTATCAGATATTGTACTTTCCCTGATGGTGTAGTCCTTTTTGCACGAACAGTAAATTTTTCACCCGAAGCAATTCGATTTGCAGCTCCAAAATATATATTAACTGACGATTTGAGATCATCAATAGATATATCTATTGGATTTTGTTTAACTGGTGAAGATTTAGATGTACTAGGTTGAGGTACTAATTTTTTATCATTAACTTTGACTTCTTGTCTCTGGGCACCTCTCAGGCGCCTTCCATTCATAACATAATCTACACAACTACCCAACTGACCACTAGAACTTGACGATGGCCCAGCACCACTGTTATTATACATGCTTCTCAGAGAGCGGCATGAGGCACTGGACCACCCTTCTCCCACTTTATTTGACACATCTGGACGGCCAGGTGTGTACGTTGCAGTTTTACTAGCAGTTCCCAAAGCGTTATTTGCTATTCCATTAGCAGAGCTTGCTCTTGTTCGCCTATGTCGTCTCCGTTTCACTTCCCCATTTCTATCTATTCTGATATCCTTCTCACTCAGCTGTCTCTTGGCAGGTCTTGGAGGGCCTGGATGAGGAAGGACAGGTGTGAGGGGCAAAGGCAATGTAATCGGGCTAGTATTTACAACACTAGACGGTGTAGAACTGAACAAACTTCCTGTTACATTTAGGCCATTAGGTGATGCTAAAAGCTCAGTCAAACTACGGAAAGGGTTGTTCTTTCCTTCAAAGTCTTTAGGAGGTGGGATAAACGAGTCCAAAGTACCTCGAGATGAGGTTTCATCTCCGCTGGTATCTCCTGGTGTGCTTGGGACTGGGAAAGTCGAGGACGTGGAAGTAGCCTGAGTCATGTGGCAAGGAAGAGGGCCAGATGGAACAGCAGCAGATCCTGCTAAACTTGAAGAAGTGGATGCCAATGGTACAGATGCTTCAGCCACAGAGGACGGAGGTGTTGCTGTGGGTTCCTGAGAACTTTTCTGACTCTGAAACGAAAATGGAAGTCAGCATCACAAAACAAGTATGAAGGAAGTTCCTCCTCGAAGAAGGAGATGACAATAAACATAACGTAAGTCCAAGAACATTTTTAAGAAACATTATATTAATTTAAAACACCAAGGCAATGCCATCATCACCTAAACAGCCAGACACCAAAAACATGTATTAATTAAACCAATAAGTAAAAAATGCATAAAAATTATCAACATTTATCACAAATCTCAGAAACGTTTTTGGACTTTCATTTTTCACATAAAAAATGTGAGTTATATTCAAAGCATGCAACACTTATGTACCTGAGCAATTGCATTTTTCAATAACTTCCGGGCTTTGCGTGCAGTGAAATCTCTTGCTTGTTCCTCAGCAGGAGGTAACCTTCGCTGTTTAAGCAGCCTTTCTTTATGTGCAGTGTTCCCATATGAGCTGAGACGCCGTCGTAACAGGGACTGTTGCAATGTATACCTATTAGCTGGAGTGTGAGCTGATGTCTTTTTCACAAAACCACTATTGGCGAAATCTGAACGGTTTATGAACTAAAAGTGAGAAAATACCATGTAGAATTTAGAATGTATGTACCATCAATGAATTATTTCATTTCCAAAAATTTAGAAACTAAGACATCAAATTCACAAACTACAGATATTTAAATCAAATACTACATCAGTCACATCACTACTTGTTTATTCTGTAGCTACACGGGCAGATTATGTCCCAAGCAATGAAGATTTATATTACATGCTCTTTTCAAGTTAAATTCTACATTGTAAATTCATCAAAATAAAGATGAAAAAACTGATACTGAAAACTGATACTGCAGATCATACATGCAATTTACACCTACAAGTATGCATAGATTATACTATCAGACCTGTTATTCAATAACCATGGTATAAGGAAATAGTGGACACAGTTGGGATTAAATTTTTAAAGAAATATGCAGAGCAAACAAGCACAATGAAGATAATAAAACCTTTACAATAAAGCAAAACTACCACAGAAAACTCCATTTTCAGGATCTTTCTTCAATTTAAATAATTAAGATATTGAATGTTGAAGTTTCCAAATGAACCAAGTATTATATTATTTACATATTCCAATAATACTGCACAATGGCTAAATGCATCAATAGAAGCATTATCTTTACTGCACCAAAAACAGGTTTATTGGCCGTGTGTAGATAAGCACAAACACACAGCTTATTTTCTGTTGCTACATAACTATTGCATGCTGATGAATTAACATTTCGGTAAAAAGTTATGACACGAAAAAGTTTAAAGTAAAATTTATCAAACTTTACATACCACAAAAGTAGTGCAGATGAACTCAGTATAAAATATCACACAATAAATAAATTTTCCATACAAACTACAAAACAAACCAGCACAATTCATAATATATAAGGATATGATGATTTAACGAAAATGGAATAGAAAGAATTAAGTACCGTTTTAAAGTAAAAAAAAAAAAAAAGATCCATGATACAATACAAATTATGTTTACTCCTCACTCTATATGCTGAGAACAAAATCTCTTAATACAACTGCAAAAAACATGGAATTCAAGTAATTTTTATGAAAGAATGGTTTCAATGCCTCATTACAGACTAACGCTGCGATTTCAAAAAACTGCAACTTGGCTCTCAAGTTGCTTAACAAATAAATTTTGACAATTTCACTTGCTCAAATGCTTTGAGGTAAGGCACGTTACAGTGAATCTAGTATGTTGTGCCACGAGCAACATCAATCCTGGCTCTAGAAATATTTGGTAATAATTATATTTGCTTGCAACACATATTTTTTGTAGGAAATTGGTTATTCAACCACCAATTACACTTCCAGAAAAAATTTTTTAGAGATGTGTTAGATGAAAAGAAAATTACCTGTTAATAGTGGGATTGAATGTACAGATAAACAAATCGAAGATCATACAGAAGCAATAAGGCAAGTTAAAAGGAAATTATAGAAAGGTCTCAGCAGACAGTGGATTACTCTTATGGTGTTACTTTTATTGAAAGACATAGAAGCATGCATAACATATTCTTGCATTTTTCCTCAGATTTCATGCACCTAACTGAATTTTTGTGTATAATTCAAACAAAAAATGACATTCAATACCATTTTTTATCTGTAAAGAAAAAGATCTACTTGTCATTTTGCTGTCAACGGTCTCAGCCTTCTTAGCATGAACACAGGCATTTCATCAGAGGTTAAGAGTGAAAAGCCTCAAAACAAAACTGAGACAATTTAAAATAATATAATAGTAAAATCTTCCTCTTAAAACGTGCGTTGCTTTTTTTTGCCCGTATTGTTTATTAATGAGACAATTATCAAATAACCATGATGAATAACATATGCATTTTAAACCAAAACTTAACTTTTAACAATGTTCTTGTTCAAAAGACTTGCAGCCCTCATCAGGTAATTCCTAAAGGCAGACCCGCATATTCAGCATTTGCCATGCAAGCTACTGCTTGCCCAATTTTGATCAGCTGATGTGTTCGGCGAGTAATTCACTTTGTTTGATGTGTCCAAAAGACTGACACACATAGTGCAAACAAATGATTGTCACTCGACAAACAGCAAGCTACTCATCCACACTATTTGAGATTCAGCAAGCATTTCCTTGCTACTCACCAAATAACAAATGTGTGGAGCTGCCATATAACAAAGGGATAACATTAACCATGCAAACAATAAAATATTTACCAAGCATTGTTAAAAATTCCTTAAATTTACGTCCATAACAAATTCAAATCTTGTGTTGAATTATTAGTGATCACTTAACCACCATTGCTGATGAGTGAGGAGTGAATATACAAGTAAAAACAAACAAACTTAGGGACAAGAGACTTACATTCAATAATTGTATTTGGAGATAGGAAGGCATTCTACTTTTATTTTACATATTTTTAACTTATTATAATATATTTATTAATTTTTACATTTTAATATATTTACAGGTTGAAACGGAAACCTTTTTGAAAAAATAATTACATATATTATATGTACACGTTTCACTTTTTTTATTACAATAAATTCTATTATCTACTGACGAGTATTCATAACTAATGGCTCCAAACATTTCACCTTTTATAACCAAGTACCTCCAAATTTGTCTTAGTAAAAATAGAAAGCCTACAGAGAAAATGAAAATAACAGAACCTAAAAACTGTATAATTCTTCTGTGCCTTCATGCAAGTTGATATTGTTATTTGTGCTGGCTATGTGTAACATCTTAGAAATTAGTTTTCCATAATAAATTTCGTGCCTACCTAAAATTTTCATGTTATCCCATTTCATACAAAGCCCAGTCAAGTATGTTTGGAGATCTCATTTTGCTGAGGCAAAAATAATTAAATATTAAGCAAATTTGTTATACATTTATGTCATGATTATGTGCACAAGTTTAAGAATTTTTACCCAATATTTGACGAAATTTTTCTCAACATTTGACAAAATTTGTTTGGTAGTTTCAATAAAATTTTAGCAGTTTGTCTTAATTTTAGATATTACTTGTTGAAGACTCGTGACCTTTGTGCCAGAACATTGTTAAAAGTTAAGTTTCGACTTTAAATTCATTGCCGGTTACAACAGATAGTCATTTAATATTCATATCATTAAAATCATATTAATTTCTCTTCCCCTGTGTTATCTTACCACAAAATAACCTCTGAATGAAACATTTTCATTCAATGTATTAAGCTAATCAGCACATTTCAAACAAAAAGAACAAGAAAATTGGAAACCTCAAACATTTTGTCTTGGCACAACCAAATGACAGCAGACAAGTGTTTATTCTATTGATTTTACAATTAAAATGTAATGTTTATACTATAAAACTAGTTAACAGCAGCATGTGATAACACATTGCTTCACATTTAAATAAAAAATTTGGTTGAGTAGAAGTCTGAAATTCCTTTCTAAATGCAAAGCCTTCGGTTTTTAAACATAAATATAAGAATACAGACTTCTTTCATCAGTTTGTTTAAAGAAATGCTTTCTTGAGTTATAGTTAGTAAAATGTTTTCAGAATGAGTATGATCCATACACTAGAACTGGCTGAGAAGTAAAGAATGAAGGAGAATGGGAGAGAGACATTTGTAAAACCTCTACAATTTTTAGTGCAAGGTTACCGAAATTACATTCCCAGAAAAAATTGCCAACATTACAAAGGGCAAAAGCACACAAGCAACTACTATAACTTGTGGGATAGTTAACTAACCTTGGAAAGAATTTTCATTCCTGCAGGTGGAGTGGGGAGACTATCAGAATCGTCACTTGTTGCCCCCTGGCTATTATTGAAGACTATGCCTGAAGCTGGCTGTGTCACACCATCTGCTTTTTGATTAGGAACAATAGTACTCTTTGTTACACTTGACTGGCCATTGAGCAGGTTTTCGTTCCCATGGAAGCTTTTTCCCAATTGACATTTGCCGGAAACAAGTGAGCTGAAAGAACAAAGAAAATTAAACCTAATGAAAGCTGAGGAAATTAGAAAAAAACAACAACATATTCACACTTGCTGAAAAATATTTCAAACAATTTTCATTGAGAGACTATTAGAAAGAAAGGGGGAAATATAGGCTTGAAATCAAAAGCATCAGTAAGATTCTAAAAACAGTATGAAATGCTAAACAGAACTATTAAAATGTATTTCTCTCAATATTTTTCATTTCACTTAAATAGTTAGAAGGTAGTTTATTATTAACTTGCAATGTTACAAAACCACACACATTCTTGTATTAATTGTAACATTTACTTAATATTACAATAGCACATTTCTACTCCTTAACTTCTTATTTCTTCTAATTAACACTTCACCCTTCTGTAAAAACGATCTTTAACAAATGAGAAATCAAAACTTCAAAATACATCTTAAATTGTTAAAAAAACAAATTTTTAATGAAAAAAGTGCTTTTCCAATTGCAAATCAATGTAGTGTGTTTTATACTTACAAACATGTTCAAAATTGTGCATGATCTTCAACTTTTCAAGCCATCATGCATCTAACTGAGCTGACTGCCACAATGGCTAGACAGTACTTGGAATATTTTCACAATCTTCTGTTGGTTCTGACACCTCGAAAATTCTCTCAAACTACTTATTCTTTGAAAGAATTAAGCAAGACAACTCTTAAAGCTCCAATTTTGAAAAGCAGTTTTCATTAAAAAAAAAAACCCTTTTATCTTCAATATTGAAGTTGTAGAAGGAAGTCCACAATAAATTTTGCAAATTTTCAAAATTTCAGAAGATATAATGAAAAATTGATGACAGCAGTTTAATAATCATACTTTATTCAAGCAAAAATTTGGAATCACTTTTTGGAAAATTTTGAAAATCTCAAGGCTTCATGTAAAGACCGCCACCAATTACGATCATTTAAAATTTGCAGGCTTCAAATGCTACCAAATCAATCAAGAAATATCCATTCGGGAAAAAATCTTGAATATAGTTTGGGTGCTAGTGATGTTCAGAGACTGACATTTATCGAAAAATGAAACTTGTATGGCACCAGACACTTCGCGCTTCAATAAACATCACAACACTGATTCTTTGCAGCATTACAATACATTCTCAACATTTTGTGTGCAACAAAATAATAATGAAACAAATTTGAGACTAATTGGAATTGCTCATGAAATATTTCCACTGTGCCATAAAACACATTTAAGACTATGCTTAGAGTTATCAAAAAGGAGGTGCCATTCTGTTGAACTGTTCTGATGTAACTAACAGGCTAACGAGACCTTTGATAGTATGACAGCCAAACCAGTCTGTCTTCACAGAAGAACTCCAAAAATATTACATCCCATTTTCTGAATAATGAACGTTAAGCAGCAAAGTTAATTCTTTGTTTGCCAAATGGAAGCTAATATTTCAGCATCTCATACCAAAAAGTTCAATTCAGATAGATAGAACTGCCAGAAGGTTAATGACTACTCAGCATTTGAATAATATCCACTGAATTCTGCAATCACCATCTCATGCATCTTAAGAATTCTCTGTTGTTAACAAGTTCACTTTCTGTCTCCTCATCCACAAGAAAACCATTAAAAACTGGAACCAGAAGCATGGGAGAAAGTGGGACGGGATAAATTACTGTGGAAATACAGTGATATGTAGTATTATGAAGGATTTTCTTGCTGATATCCTTGCTATTGACCGGGCAGAAATAGCAGCTACTGCTGTGGCCAAAACCCAGCCACTTAGTTTTCCTTGTGATATGACACAAGTATTTCCTCAGTTATGACACACTAGATATGGAGTCCATTTCTTGTCTTGGCCACCTCCCACAATTTCAAAATAGGTTTCTCAAGCATTCTGACAAACGATGAAATATTGTGCCTTTTACATTGAAGAGTGTACCAGCTACATATAATACAGAACGCATCATAGCATTCTTTTTTAAAACATACAACTGGAAGGAAGCATGATCAAGTCCAATATAACAAAGCATGTTTACTCATAGGCAACATGCAATAAATAAAAATTAAGAAATAGTAAAACATTAATTACTCCTACTGTTATGAGTATTTGTCGTCATCCCCTATCTTCAATGTAAAACAAAAATCTGTACTAAAAGTAACAAAAATCATATTTGAAAACTATATTATTCGGCATTAATACCAAAGTCTGTGAAAGTACTTTAAACTCATATCACATGAAAACTAGAGCTCACACGGAAAAACTGGTTTCATGTTTGGAATTGACATTGCCAAAATATATAGAAACAAATGAAAAGTCTCATGCAACATTTTTTTGTTTCCCTGGGTTATCATTATTATAAAACAATACTTTCTTAGAAAACGAGTGCATTATACATCCAATATTTCAAGGGCCACAAGCAAAATATACCAGTGTGATAATGCCATATCTGTCAGAAATGGGTAGAAACCATTGATCATATTGTTTCAGCTTATCCAATTCTAGCTGATGTGTAATGCTCTCAAAATTCCAAACACATACTACAAGTGTTAAGTGTCAATATTGTACGACTAACAAAACTGATCACACAATAGCAGCTAAAACTAGATATAGTAATTCAGGACTTGGAGAAAAAAATAATATCTATTTGTAGATGCGTTTTTCAATCAAAACATCATAACCAAAGAGGCACAGAAAATTCAGTACTAAGATTTGGATATCAGGCAGAAATAGGGTATATAAACCAAATCAAAACAACAATTTTCAGAGCTCTGGGATTGATTAAAAATGAAAATCTTTCAAAGAACTTGTCCAAAGCCCAAGAACATTCACAATACTAGGAATAGCAAGATATCACGTTTTTGGGGACAGCCCATATTTTAAGCAAAAGAATTGTAAAGACCCTGGTTGCAACCTAGAGTAATTTGACATATAAAGACACCTATCTTTAGTCATTAATTGAATAGATGGGAGTCAGAGATAGCAACAGGGACGAAGATGATGATGATGATCATAATAATATTAGCAACAATAATACAGATGAAAATAATACATTTTATTCTTCTGACTCATTCTTTAATAAATATTTTCCATAAATCAGGACTACCTATTTCTTCATCACATAGAATATCAAAGTCCTTTTAACTTCTTTCATCAGAACAAAGACATTCATCAATGGACAGAAATGAATTAAAATTGAATAAGTATAAGGGAGGGGGAAAAAATAATCTAAACTCCCTCCAAACATTGTTTTCAGAATAAACAAGATACATTTCTGGGCCACTGGGAGATTAACAATAATCATTTTTTGCTAATGAACATGTGATGAGAAATTTCATATCATTGACCATCAATGCATGATGGGTGATTTATTTATAAACTAGTTACACTACAACAACACATACTTTCTTACAATAGTAACAGTTACATACCATTACAATACCATAATTTCTGTCCACACATCTCTCCATCACCATAGCACATAAGGTACGAATACAAATTGTTTTAAAATTAATACTTTCACACTAATTTGACAATCCAAAATTGCATTCCACTGAGCAAAAAAAATTATCACCCAATGAGAAAAAATCCCAAGAATTTCCAACTGCCGTGTCATATCACTGCCGTTGTACGGCAAACTGAATTCATTAAAAAAATCACCTTTCAACAGAACAAGCAGATCAAGCAAAAAAAAAAAGCCATTTTGATAAAATAATTGTTTTTATTGTCTTTATTTCTTGCAAAATTATGCAAAAACAATTCTTTTTTTTTCGGTCGTAATAGGCCCAACTAGAGCTGTCTTTGAAGAACACATTCCATTCAATTCTATATTAATATTGTAGTTTTCTGTCTTCAATATTGTAGTTGTGAGGAGATGCCCAACAATTTTTAAACTTTTGCAATTTTTGAAAATTCAAAGAGTTTATTGAAAATGCAACCTATGCCATTTCTTTCAGCATCTTTTGCTCTATCAAAGGACAGAAATTGATAACAAAATTTGGAGCCAATATTGAGATACTTTTGAAAACGTTAAGCCTTCAGGTACAGAATACCCCCAAAAACAAAATGTCAATTTTGGTAGAAATCAGCTGAACAGGTTAGGAAAAAGATTCCCAACAGGGCTGATACCGCCTACTAAGGAGTGCTGCATGGAGCCTTCCAGGAGGCCGGTAGTGGATCCAATGCCAAATGATTGTGTGTGTGTGTGGGGGGGGACCAAAATATTCTCCTTCTTCAGTTCTAAATATGGTAATAAATAAGAATTTTAATGAACAAACATTGAATAACGATGGTGAGAATGGAGCAATTTGGATGTTAGATTCTGCATGCACATCTCACACGAGTTACGAAAAGGATGTTATTTTAGAGAAGAGGCCAGAGAATACAGCTGAACGCGGAAAAATTGTTAGAGGATCTACAAATAACAATAATGAAATATTTGTAAAAATGAAAAATATTTTGTACATTCCTAATATTAATAACAATTTGATGTCAGTTTATAGCTTCGTGAAAAATGGTAAGAAAGTTGTTTTAGATGAAAATGGAGCAAGAATATTTGAAAGAGATACCAGGGAAGTAATAGCAGAAGATGAATTTGAAAATGATGAATTCGTTATTAAAGTGAATGTTCATCATGATAAAAATATTCCAAGATCTGAAATTTGTTTAAACACATTGAAACCAAAATTTCAATTATGGCACAGAAGGTTAGGGCAAATTAATTTTAAATATTTAAAAAGGTTGATCAGTAATGGTTTGCCTAAATTTAAAATTCAAAAATATAATGATTGTGATTCTTGTGTAAAAGTGAAAATATCAGGATTGCCATTTAATAAAGTGAATATAGAACAAAGTGTTCAAGTGCTTGATAGAACGCTTGTTGATTTGTATGGTCGAATGCCTGTGGAATTGCTTGGAGGAAATGGGTTTATGATGGTGATTCTGGACGAATTCAGTAGAAGATACTTTGTAGAATTTTTTAAACATGAAAATGAAGTTGGAAATAATTTGAAACAATTAGTAG